CCCTGGGGGAGGGGGGGGAAGGTGTGTGGGGGGGGTCTTTGGGGAGTCTGCTCCCCAGAAAGAGACAGAGGGTCACCTGGTATTGCTCCGGAATGACGGAGGGTCGTCCCTTTCATTCCTTGGCTGGCTTCCTTTCAAGGTTCTTTATCCTCCTGTTATGGGGAGGGTGGTGGGAAGGGGGGGTGCTCCGCCTCAGTCGTGCGGGTCCCATCCAGAAGAGTCTGGGCTGGATCCCAAGCACGGAGGGACGTCTCTCTCTCTGCCCCCCCCCATCTTCCTCCTCCTGCAGGTCTTCCGGAGCGGAGAAGGCATGGGGATCCGTCTGGACAGCGCCTCGGCTTTCCAGGGGGCTGTCATCTCCCCACATTACGACTCCCTCCTGGTGAAGGTCATCGCCCACGGCAAGGACCACCCCACGGCAGCCTCCAAGATGAGCCGGGCCCTGGCCGAGTTCCGGATCCGTGGCGTCAAGGTAGGAGAGCGGCCGGGAAAGCTTGCGTGCGCCTGCGGAGTGGCTTCTTCCCTGAGGGAGGGGGGGAAAGGTGTGTGGGGGGGGTCTTTGGGGAGTCTGCTCCCCAGAAACAGACAGAGGGTCACCTGGTATTGCTCCAGAATGACGGAGGGTCGTCCCTTTCATTCCTTGGCTGGCTTCCTTTCAAGGTTCTTTATCCTCCTGTTACGGGGAGGGTGGTGGGAAGGGGGTGCTCCGCCTCAGTCGTGCAGGTCCCATCCAGGAGAGTCTGGGCTGGATCCCAAGCACAGAGGGACGTCTCTCTCTCTCTCTGCCCCCCCCCCATTGCAGGCTGGACAGTCCAGGCTCACCTTCTGTCCTCCGTGTATCTGCGTCCCTCGGGGGTCTCTCTGGTGGAGATCCGCCTCCTCGCCTCGCTCGCCAAAAGGTCCTTTCCTGTCTGGGGAGGTGGGGGTGGGGGTGGACGTGGAACGGCCGCTCAGGCCAAGGAGGGTCCTTCTGGGCGCTTGCAGTTCGGGCCAACGATTCTCAGGCTTTTTGTATGTTGAGCCAAGCAGGGTTGTGTCAGAGAGTCACTTGCGCAGGACTCCCGTGGGGCCGAGAGGACAGAGGAAGAGAGGGGGGAACAGCAGTGGCCTGAGGGACGTGGGGTTTCGTGGCGAGGGGTCGGTGGCTGCACCAGGGCGGAGGGTGGCCTGGGGGTCGTCGGCTGTGGGACTGGTCACTTTCCCCCGCTGTGGTCCTGGGCAGGTGGTCTCCCTCCAAGCCACGTTCTTCCAGGAAAACCACAAGAGTGGACGAGATGACCCCTTGTTGGAAGGGGAGTCTCTCCCCCCCCCCATACACACACATACACACAGTCCTCGGGTTCTTGGTGTGGCCTCCCAGCACGGACCGCCTCGCCCTTCCTGGCCTTCTCCTTCAGCCGATATCGACCTGGCCAGGGGAAAGAAAGGGGGAGGGAGAGAGACACCTCTTCGAGTGTGGGGTTTGTTTTCGGGGGGGGGGAGCTTCACACAGCGCCCATGACCTTCAAGTGCTCCTCTCTGACACACACACACAAACACCTTTCTGTCTCCTGGGGGGGGGGAAGACTCTCCCTCTCCCTTCTCCCACCCCTCGCTGGCTCTGCCACACCACGTCCCCCGGCGGCTGCGACTGCTTGCTGGCAGGATACGGCCCGGCTCCTCTTCTGTTCCTGCCAAGGAGCATTAAGGCAAGGGAGAAGAGCAGGAGGCGCTGGGGGGGGGGGTTGCTCAGCAGCCGAGGGAGAGCGCTCTCTGCTCAGCACCCCGGGCAGGAAAAGCCCTCTGAGGTTCATTCAGCCCAGCCACAGAACGTGGCTTGGGGGGGGGGGAGAGAAAAAAAAAACCATTTTCCTTCCCCCGCCGTTCCCCCCCCCCTCCGGCAAGGAAGTGCTGAGCACGGTCCCTTCTTCTAAAGCGGTCCCAGATGCCATTCCTTCCCTGGAATGTCTCCCCATCGCTGGTCCCATTGGGGGGGGGTGTCTTTGGTGTTCTGGGTCAATGTTTTCTTCTGGAAGGAGTCGCTTTGGGTGGCTGTCATCCGTGGAACAGAGGGGTGTGGAGGGGATATGAGCCTCCCTGTCCTAGCACAGTCTATCTCTAAGCAGCCGTTTCGGGCGGACTGTGGCAACATCTGGATGATTTCTGGGGGTAACTGGCGGCCTGTGGTGATGCCCCCCCCCTCCGTGGCCTGCTCCAGCTGCTCTTGTGTCGTCCTCCTCGTGTCTCCTCTGCCACGGCCAGCTTCTCTAGCGATCCTTCAGACGCGAGGGCGAGAGGCACCACCGAGACCCACAGCTGGGTTGGGGGCAGGTGGGGTGTCGGCCGGCCTCCTTCGCTGCTCAGGAATGGGAAAGGGCGCCCCGCTCGTCCTCGGCAAAGCTCCCTTTCGGGAACGCTGGTGGCCATGGGGGCAAAGGAAGAACCAGCTGCAGGGTCGCAGCATCCAAAACTGGAAGAGGGATGATGGGCGCAGGAGGGAGCCTGGGGTGCACCCATCCGCCTCTCCCCCTCCGGTGGGTCCCCCTCACCCTCCCGTGAATCGGCCCTTGGCCACCGCTTTAGGGACGCTGCCTCCCCCCCCACACACACACAGCCTTGTCAGAGGAGAGAGGAAGCCCCCCCCCGAGGGTCTTCCAGCCCCACCTTCCCTCTGGTTGGAAAGAGGGGGCAGGTGCTTTAGTGTGGCTGCTTGGCACCCTGGGGTCGGGCAGGGTGGGGGGGTAGCTGTGACCTTTGGCTCTCCGTCCTTTTTCTTCCCTCTGGTTGGAAAGAGGTGGCAGGTGCTTTAGTGTGGCTGCCTGGCACCCCGGGGTCCAGGCGGGGGGGGGGAGCTGTGACCTTTGGCTCTCCGTCCTTTTTGGCCTAGAAGGAGAAAGGGTTTCTCTTCCTTCCTTCCTTCCTTCCTTCCTTCCTTCCTGCCTGCCTGCCTGCCTGCCTGCCTGCCTGCCTGCCTTCCTTGCTTGTTTTATCTGCCAGCGCTCCATCCTTAAGGGACAGGGCAGGGCAGGGCAGGCTGTTGTGCCTTTCCTCCGAGGGGGTCCCTCGCAAGGGGACGGGGGGGTGGGCGCTCAAGAGGTCCCTGGGTGGGCACCCCCTGCCCCGCTGGGCACCTGCCGCTCACCGCCCCAGCGACCGGAAGGCAGAGCCTGCCTCTTTCGCCTGAGGCGTCTTCTCCTTCAGAAGACAACTGGCAGGGAAGGGATGAAATAATGATAAGGTTATGAAATTATGCACTGGCGCGATTGCTTCCCCCCCCCCTTCAGCCGCTGCTTCTGCATCACCCAATAACTTTGACTCCGGCAGGCCGGCCGGGGGGAGAATCTCTGCCCGCCTCCCTTCAGCGCCCAGGCCGGGGTGGGAAGGATTTCCACCCTCGGCTGGAAGGGAAAGGAGAGCCGGAGAGAGCCGGACCCAGCGGGCCTGAGGTCTTTTTCCAGCCAGGCCTTCTCTTGCACAGCCCATAAGCAGCAAAATCCAAATTCGAAGCTTCCCACCCTATAACCATGGATCACAGAAGGTCTCCAGAGGTCATCTAGTCCACCCCTCTTTTGATGCAACACAGCTAACACCCCCCCCCGGGCGAAGGGCCTCCCACGAGGGAGAACCTCCACCCCTCTTAAAGGGAGCCCACCCCACGGCCGGACCCACCCCACTGTTCCCTGGTCTCCTCCACTGAGCAAGGGAGGGACAGAACAGGTTTCACCCTTTATCTGGGGACCAGGATGTCTAATAACAGGCAAGGTTACTCTGGAATTTGGTTTCTAAGATTCCCCCAGCTGCAAAGGATTCTGGGAACTGTAGTCCAAACCTCTCTTAACTTTACTGAGCTCTGGGGGTTCCTGTTGTGTTTGTGGAGAAAAAGCCCTCAAAACAATCCAATAAATGAACAAACCTATGAGCCCTAATATTTTATGACCTGCTGCCTCCGTTGGTGGCGGGTGGATAAAATATTGGAGCGGGGAAAGGTATAAATAGGCAGGCCTGGGGGAGCCACCGGGGGGGGGGTTTAGCAGCCGCTCGGGTGAACTTCTGCGCCTCCGTTTCATTTACGAGGGAAGAGAAAAGGTGCCGGGGAGACGGATGGCAGCCGCCAAGCAGCCCCCCCTTTCTTTTCCCTTCAGCCTCCTCCCCCCATCATACCGCTCTAGTCTGCAAGGCAAAGGTAATTATTTAGTATTGATTCAATTAACAAATGTGGCCATCATCCTTCTGCCCACCAAGGCTCTGGAAGCGATTTACAATGGATTTAAATTATTAAGAACCAGAGTTTTTAAAAAAAAACATTCAGGAACAGATGGAAAACATTTGAAAGGAGACCCAAGACATTTTCCTAAAGTCAGGGATGGATCCAGGGGCCCTGACGGGAATCCAGCGACCAGCAAGAAGCCCAGCAGAACTGAAGCCAACCCCGCGGCCCTTGTGGCAGGGAGTTCCGCAGGCAGGAGGGCGTGGCTGCCCAGAAGGCTTCAACGGCCTTGTCTGGTGTGCCCCAAGGACCAAGCGCCTGCCTGGCAGGATTAGCGTAAAGAGGATGGCGACCGGGAGGTTTGCGTGGCGTGCTGGGAACTCCCACAG